TTATTTGTGGATTCAGTTTTAGAAGCAAACTACTAGTATTCGCGTGTCGATAGTATATATTTATATAATTTACATAATATTTATGTTAATCACCTATATTGAATTTATTGATGTGCATTGCTAACAGCACAGATATCTCAGCTGAGAGGCTGCAAGCACAGTGTACTTTTTTCGCAACTATTGTAATGCAAATTTCATACAATTTACGTTACGAGATTAATGCAGCACATGGATTAATTTAACATGTTAATTAGTATTTTCTTAGACATGATGCTGTACTATATATTTTTTCCATACCAGTTCTGTTTTTTTTATAATTATTGATCACTTCGTTGTTCTTGTCTATGTCTGATCAGAATTGATTCTATCTATTTTTTAGTCAGTGTTTTGATGCAAAATGTCTTAGTTTATATCTTTGGTCACATAAAGAAAAGATCAACCAGGTATCTTTTTTTTAACTGGCATTTTGGAATAGTTGTGCTATTTTGATAAACAGTACCATCACAATTACCTAATAGTAGGTAGCCACATATCCCTGTTGACTTAACAAAAATTAAAATTCTAAAACTGTGATGAATAGCTGCCAAATACTTCTGTTATTTTTATAAGAATATTTTCAGTAAATTTGACAAACATATTTTCTTTGAGATAAATATTTATTGATACTTAAATAAACCTTGTTCTGTCAGTTTTTTGTAAGCAGATGAACATGTTACGCTTATAAAAACACAGCTGGAAAATAAATTGATGGCTTAAGAATGTAAATATATGCTATGTTTCATGACATTAACCAAGATGTCACTTATTTAGGTGATGTGGTTTATTGCTCTTCATGTCACTGATGTCTTCATTTGATGCAAAATCTTCAAATAAGTTAACCCTCCTACATACTGTTACATTTATTATATAATTTATTAATTTACATGATAAAATAAGACTGCTGAGATGGTTCATAATCTCTACCAACTCAACCCGACCCCTGTATTATAACTTTTAATATCTAAAGAGGGATCTAAATGGAGTACATTTTTGATAAAAATGCCCATACCAAAGGCTGTGTGGCATAATATTAATTTCTAACTTTAGTTTGACACTTCAGCTATTTCTTTTGAATGCGATTCTTGTACAATACTGTACTATAGTTTCCTTATAGTACCGGTACATTCACATATAAAAAAAAACTGACTGGGAATACTCCTCTTTAAAATAATGATATTTTAGAGCTAATGAAAAATATATAATTGTCTGTGGGAAAGTATCTTTCTCTTTTCTTAGTTTGTCAAACATCCAATTAAATATGGATACACTGTCCCTAAGAGTTTGGAATAATGTAATGCGGCTGTCTTTCAACTGGGACTGTAGAGATTTTGAGGCAGTTGTGATCAGTGCAAGGACTGTAACATCAGGTAAAACAGCATAGTTCCCCAACATGCTAGAAAAATTCCTTGAATGCACTTTGTTGTGTCTTGCTGTCATCTGATTTTTCACCCCTACAAAAAAGATCACAGAAATTATCATTTGAAGGTAAACGTGTACAATTTAGGACTCCAAATTAATCATTTCCTGATTTTTAAGAAAAAAAATTCTCTAATAAAACATGTACACTGAAATGTTGGTAGAATGAGCACTTTTATAATGAATTGCCCAAATAACTTAATGAATCAACACTGCTCTGTACATATGCAGTAGTGGAGGAATATGTTCACATATATCCTACATTAAAAATATTCGCATTTTATCAGAAAATATGAAATGAGTGACTAAGCCACTTTTAAACCGCATTTCATTGACCATTCAACATGAACTTCTACAATTTATAACACACATAATGCAAACTATGATTTTAATGTTGAAACTTACCTGAACTTTCATTAATAAAACCACGGGTGAAACTATGATAACAGAACCAGGTTCCTCATTATACATGGGTAGATTAGCGATTTAACCAAATCCAGTTGGCAGGATGGCTTGGATATTGTTTTTTGATAACAGATGTGTTAATGCCTCTTTCTTGCACACCTTAAGGAAAGGGGAAATGTGCACATTTAATATATCACAATAACAAAATTGACTCGGCAAATAAATTATTCACGTTACTGGTTCATGCATATAGGTCACAGTCACGGCGTCACGTGAAGACAAAACTATTACTGTTACTCACAGGCGCTCGGACCGTTTAACGGTTAAGACGGGATCGGAGTAGGGGAATGTCGTTGAAAGGCTAAATACAAATACGAAAATTACTGACATGAAAGCCATAGGTTTATCAGAGACTCACAAAAGCATTGCCTGGCCGTAATACATTAACGCATAATGCAATAGTTAGATCGTGATGACTGTGTCAGTATAAAGTCGAAACAACATGCACGTAACTGATTTGTATAGGCATTGAGTCAGATGTAGTTAGAAGCGACTGGGACACAATTTTCTAAGAACTGATTAACGGCAAGAATAACCAAAAAATCGACATATTCAAACTAAAATACAAATATATATAATATAAAGGGTTATAAAAAAAAAAGCCTCATACCTACATAGGATTTTAATCAGATTGGTCTAGCGTGTTCCTAACCCACGAGAAGCGTGTAATGAGCGACCAAGTAAGATACCCCTGGAAATCATTTACGTGTGCTAACGTGTCACTAGCGCGCGACGAACGACTTTTAAACGTTAGGTGAGCGTGTTGAGCGTGTATCTAACGTGTGAATAACGAACGAATAGTTTAGGTCGTTAATTTGACGTTAGTCGCACGCTTTAGTGCGATAGGGGCACGTTCAGCGGTCGTTGACAGGTCGCTAGTGAGTTGTTCACTGCAAAGCGAGCGATTGGTAACAACTAAGTAACGCTAGAGCAACGACTGACTAACGATTGTCGAACGCGTCGAACGTTATTTAACGTTTAACAGCATTTAAAAATAAACATTGAAGAACGCTGGTCTCAAATGAAAACTTTTGTGCATGTTCAAAACGTTTTTTTGGGATCAGCGTTCTCCGCCGATTCCCGACGATCAGCTACGATTACCGACGTTCACTAGTGTTATCACGGCGCTCTTCTGGCGCTGTCCCAGCGACTTTGGGCGACTACCAACGTTTCCTCAAACACCAGATAACGCTAGCCAGAACGTCATGGTGTGACTGCCCCTTCAGATTATGGGTCTGTACGATCCTCGTAGATATTGCTGTCACATATGTTAACTATACTCTTTTATACCATGTTGTCCACTTAGCACAGTATCCCTCAAAGAGAAAAGAAGTGCCAAGTATGGTATTGATAATAAAGGTTTCAATATCTTGTCTGTTTAGTCTTGGTTATGCATGCTGATTTTTGTCTGTTGGACATCCGAACAAACTTAGGCGGACTTCTGTCAGATTTGTTAGC